AAGGGGAGAGGGAGACAGAGGGCCAAGTCACATGAACAAGCTGTTTGCATGCATTTTTTTCTTTTAGTTGGATGTGTTAATTTTGATATGCTAGTATCATGAGTGTTTTCCAGTTGGCCTTTCTATGTAGTGTGTAGCCCCGTGGTGTATGTTTTGAGATTTTTTCAATTACTTCAGTATAACTATTTTCAGTTAAAAGAAATTAATTAAAAAATAAAAAGCCAATCTAGCTTGTTTATTGACTGACTTTTCACTATTCATTTTAAAGAATAAAATTTTGTTTTGATAAATATTAATATTAAAGAATAATTCAAAATTGTATCCATTGTAATTATATTATACAATAATAAAAAAATATATTTTACACTTCCACATATGGTAAAACCCATATCTTGTATCCGTATCCATACCTCCTAGATTCTATCGTATCACCATTGTCAATACATGATTCAAACAGTTATTTTATAGAAAAAAGAAGTCGTCTTTTTCTTTTTTTTTTTTTTTTTTTTTTTTGAGCAACAACATTAAAAATAGGAAAAGAGGAAAGAGGACAAGAAGTCCTCATACAAGAAAGGAAAAAAAGGAAAAAGTTCAAAAAAATGCACGAAACTCCTAGCACTAAGGATGGCAAACAGCAACCCAATCCCTAGAAATTAAAAAAAAAATGGAACTCCTTTGAAAGGACGAGACACACATGCCCAAAACAACGCCAAATACTCCGCCCTCTCCAACAAAGCCTTGACATCTAACTCCTTGCCATCAAAGATTCGAGCATTTCTCTCCAACCAGATAGACCAAAAAACAACAAAAACCACACAAGACCACATTGTTTTGGCTCTGTTGTTGTTGCCAAACCTTTCAAACAATAAGCATATGAATGCACTCCCGTAGAGTAACCCACTGATCATCACGAAGGCCAAAAAGACGCTGCCAAAAAACAAAGGCCACTGGGCAATGTAGGAATAAATGATCTGCCGATTCCGAATTCCTCTTGCACATCACACAACATTGAGGACAAAGAGAATGATTAGGCCAAAAAGTCGTCGTCTTCTTATTAAAAACGTTGATTCATTTCAAGTTTTCAACTAATTTATCATATAGTAATTTCTACTCCAGCTTCCTGCTAGCCATGGAATAGCAGTGGGATACAAGGGACTGTCTATTCTGCGAATTTTAAGTGATTATTTTGCGTCCCTAGATTTTCTCAAACTTTATATCATCCAAAAATCACTATACAAATGAATAGATCATTTCCTAAACTCTATGAAGCAACTCAATTCTCTTTCTAACCATTTCATTCTGTCCATGTTCTATGTTTTGTTAAACAACAAAATGTATTTCATTCCACAATAATTTTCATTCCCCCCCCCCCCTCTCTCTCTCTCAACATTAAATCTGGACCATCTGCAATTAATGGTCTTCGTCGCTCATGACGACGAGTCCATCTTGGTCAGTTCTTCCTCATTTTATCTCAACTGGTTTTCACAAATGTGTGCATTTATATCAATCTCACCAAGCAGCAAATTAACCACTCAAGGAAGAAGGCTCCCAAGCAAGTCTCAACTATTCTAGCAAGGTTCACTTTTCATATTAAGGTTTAGTGATGAAAAAATAAATTTGCATTCAACTATGCTAGAATACCAAAATAAGCATGTGACGTGATCCTTGTGCCGTAAAAACCCATAATAAATAAAAACATTGCATTGTAGAATGACTAAACATGCACACAGCATGCACCAATGCGTGCACCTCCCTTCACATTATTATTATTATTTTGATAAATCCTCCCTTCACATTATTTTACCTCACAATTGATTATCCACAGTAACAGATGTTAGAATTTACCTACACCTACCACCAATTTACCTTCACCTACTCCTCACCTACTACCCAAACCCTCTCCTATATAATGAGCTACTCTGCTTTGTAATATAAATCATCAATGTATCAGATCAATCATCAACTCAACAATCAATAATAATACATCAGTTATTTTAACATGGTATCAGAGCTATAGGTTAGCTCTTGGTGAGCTTCACCTTCCGGCGGGCGGCAACCTTGCCTTCACCGCCCGCCGGTCCCCTAACCTGTTACATAATCAAATCTCAAACAGACCTGATTCACACCTCCCAAAACATCTCATTTCATTCATCTGTTTCGTACCCTGTTGGCCTTCTTCCTTACCTTGCCGATCGGCACCACCGCGCTACTTGCCTTGCTGTCACCGCCGTTAGACTTTCCGGCGTTGGTTCTCTACTCGCCGGCCTACTACTCACCGTCCCCCTCCGCGGAGACCAGTCGGCATACATCGCCAGAATCTGACTTCCGATCCTCGTATCAAAAACCCCCAAGAACACATTGTCGTTGTTCTTCGATCATTGGGTTATCTTTTCATGGTTTGCGTTGCCGGTTATACAGCAGGCCAACGTGCCAAACACGTTCCTCGTGGGATGTACATTGCAGGTGTCTCCATTCTTGCTGGAACTGCAGTGACAATGTTCCTGCTAGTTATTCTGAATGTTTTCGAGTTCACTCCACGGTATATAATCCCTGTGGCAGGGATGATTGTTGGTAATGCAATGACGGTCACTGGAGTTACCATGAAACGACTCCGGGATGATGTAAAAATCCAAACGAACCTGGTGGAGACAGTGTTGGCTCTCGGGGCTACCCCACGCCAGGCGACAATTCAACAGGTGAGAAGGGCTCTGGTCATTTCCCTCTCCCCGGTATTGGACAATGCCAAAACCGTGGGCCTCATATCACTCCTCGGCCGTTGCTGCAGATTGTGTTGAACATGGCTTTTCTCTCACTAATCTCACCGAAGCATCTCAGATCTGCATATGATGATCTGTGAGATGACAAATAAAAAAAAATAATAATAATAAAATAAAAAATAACAAGAACAAGAAGAATCTCTCTCTTCTCTCTCTGCACCTCTCTAGCTGGTTCTCTCTCTGCAACGCACATGGTTTGGTTTGCACTTTTCATCATTAATATCACACTCTCTTCCACTTTCTTTTCTTTTCTTTTCTTTATTCTCCACTCACAAACAATTATCATCACCTTTTGCACCTCACCCGTTGCTCCACTTTCTTTCTTTTATTTTATTTTATTTATTTATTTATTTATTTTTTTAAAAAAAAAAAAAACAAACAAACAAACAAACAAACACGGAGGAAGAAGACGAACTGCAAACTCATTTTATTCATATCGGGCCTCACCCCGATCATCATTTTACACACGTCTTATCTCTCACTCTTACAGAGCCTCTCACTTTTCCCACCCATGCTTCTCTCTCTCTCTCTTTCTCTCTCAATTCCAGAGGTTTCAAATTTTGAACCTCATTCTCAACCGAGCAGCCACCGCCTCAGCCATGCTGCAGGTCTCTTCTTCTTGCCTCCGTCCTGGGCGGCCCTTGACGGTGTTGCCTCCGTGCTTCCTAGACCACCAAGCAAGTTGCCTCCTCCCTGCTCCTCCACTGCAGCATATGGCGGCCCTCCAAATTGGAACATCACGGTGGCCTTCCGCTTCCGCTCCTTGTTTTCTGCCCTTAGCACGCTTATCTCTGCTCGCGCATCCTTATACATGCGTTGGAGCAGAGCCAGCTGGGAGTTTAAATGCTGCACCTCATTTGTCCTACTCTGCAGCCGGTTCGACAAATTTGTGACCGCCGTCATGCTTTCCACACATGCCTTCAAAGTATACTGATTGGCCTCCACATCCGACTGCACTGCCATTCTTTGCTCCACCGACCGCATCGGAAAGTTCAACGGAGTAAACTCCGGGGCGCTTGGTTGAGGTTCCAGTGCCACCGCACCAGTTGTCTCTCTTGTTAACTCGTTGAGGTCGGGAAAGAGGGTGAGCAACCCGCGGGAAGACGATGAAGCCATTTTCTAGGCAACAGAGTGTTATACAAAATCTCTCTCAGAAATCTCTCTCAGAATATCTCTCACAGGTGTTTTTGCCTCAGCCTCAGCCTCTGTCTTATAGCCGAGGCAGCCACGCGCATCGCGCGCCTCTTGACGCCCGACAAACTGGCACGCCTTTTCATGGCACATCTTTTGATAAAGTGGGCACGCCTTTTGATGGCACGCCTTTTGAACAATTGGGCACACCTTTTGAGGGTGCAACTTTTACAACGGTCCGACATGACCCTATAAACTGTCCCGACATTTGATTCCGATTAGCATTTTCAACAGGTCCGACATGACCCTATAAACTGTCCCGACATTTGATTCCGGTTAGCATCCCGTGTCCTCTACAACGTTATGACACCACCATACAGTGTCCTCTACACCGTTATGACACCCCCATACAGTGTCCTCTACACCGTTATGACACCCCCATACAGTGTCCTCTACACCGTTATGACACCACCATACAGTGTCCTCTACACGTTATGGCACCACCTTTCAGTGTCTTCACCAACGGTCTGACACGACCATACAGTGTCTCCTATCTTTTTTTTATTTTTATGTATTTTCTTGTTTTGTTCCTCACTCCAAACTCAAGTTGGTTAGTTTCTATCCTCCTTGAGTTTGCGGGGGGCTGTTAGAATTTACCTACACCTACCACCACCTACTACCACACCTACTACACCTACCACCAATTTACCCTCACCTACTCCTCACCTACTACCCAAACCCTCTCCTATATAATGAGCTACTCTGCTTTGTAATATAAATCATCAATGTATCAGATCAATCATCAACTCAACAATCAATAATAATACATCAGTTATTTTAACAACAGAAAATCATGAAATTTATTTGCTTTCGGTCAATCCAAGAATTATTTTGAAGTACCCTGCTACCTTAACTTGTAAGAGAAAAAAATAGGGCTAAGTTCTTAATTCAAGCTGTACATCCATGAGGAGAGTTTGGCTAATTTAATAATATAGATTAGTGAAAGAGTGGAATCTGGCACCCTTTTTGTGATAAGTGAGAAGAATCTAGCACCTTAATAATTAAAAACTAAATGCTGCAACCCAACAGGAATTGAAGTTAACGAATGATGCAAGTCAAAGCTCACAACACAGAAAATATTGCAAACCTGATTAAAATACAACGAAGGAGCACTGTTTGAAGTCCAAGATTGTCATCCAACAAAACAAAGCCTACCTCGAAGCTTCAACACTAATCCCAACATTTTGCAACAAAGGAGATGCAGCAGATGAGTTCTAGAAGCACAAAAAATCCATCCATAGTTAAAATTGCATCACTCAAAACAGCATCAATCTAAAAGAAAATAAAATCAATACATATGCTAGTGCAGTTATTCAACTACTCATACACAGAACGAAACCTCAAGAGTAGCTACAAAGCTGATGCTTAGGGGTCTGAAATGACACGAAACTCAAAAGTTGGCACAATGCTGTAGTAATTCCTTGAAAAACAACCAATAAGTATCCACAATTCTTGAAAATTCACTGCCTCTCTGATTCTATGTACAATGGCAATTTAAATCTAAACTCCTATTATCCATTTTTCCAGAGAATTTCAATAAGTTATCTGCTTCATATAAGCAGGCAGATTCACTTTGAGCAATTGCTCAATTTCATGGTTCACACTCTTCAAGGTGGAATTCTTTAAGAAGTATGTCAGGCATCATGGCCATAAACTCCCTTAAGACATGCTTCACTACCAGTCGCTTAGGCAAGAAGCGAGGCAAGGCAAAGCCTGTATCGCTCCCCATCAGGAAAAGTTAAAATCTTGTCCACTTCGTGCTAGGCCCTTGCAGCTTTAAAACATGGGTTGCTACTAAAAAGGAATGTATTTATATGGCCCAGAAAATTTTCCAACCTAACCGAAGTGAGACGAGAGATGATACAAATCCTCAGTGCCTCAAGAGGCCTGAGGCAAAGCAACATGGCGATGCAAAGTTGAGCTGCTGAAGTTAAGGGCTTGAACCGGTGGCTTTTTTTTAGATTTGATCTCGCCTATTTATTTTTGAGTTGTAACTAATATCTAGCACACGAAATTATACCACATTACTATTTTAAACTTTGCAGACCAACGAAATTGAAGGCTGATTATAGGATCGCAAAATCCAAAAATCACAAAACAAGACCTCAGAACCCTCATAATCACATCTGAATCTCCAGTAGCAAGGTTAGTCGATGTCAACAATGGATTTCCCAGCTGCTGACGCATCAGTCAATTTTCTATGTTTTTTCCTCATTCATCTTCTTCTGCTGGCACATAACATCATACCTCGTTACTATTCTGAAGTTTGCAGAGCAGCCTGATTAAAGGTTGATTATTGGACGGCAAAACAAACAAAACACAATCAAATACCTAAATTGCATAAACCCATAATCACATCCAAATCTCCAGCGACAAGGCCAATTGACGTCAACCATGTCCCTCCCACAATACAAAATAACATAAACAACATATTCATTAATTTCAACAACAAAAACAAGGGAGCTTCCTACTCAAATTGTTACTTTTGACAAGAATCGGCATATTCTTGGGGGTGGGCCAAATTCCTATGTTACTTTCCAGTCTTCTTCTTAATCTACTTCTTATAAACAGTCTCTCTCTCTTTTTTTTTTCTTTGGCCATTGGCACTTACTATCTCAACTCAGAGTTGCATCTTTCCCTTTTCTTTTCTTTTTTTTTTAAGACTTTGTTTGGGTTAACAAAATCTTTTCTTAACTTTGGTTGGCTACTATTTAACAAAATTATCTTGAGTAGTAAATCAATTTTTTAACCATTGCTAGGAATGAAAATTGGCTTGATTATTGTTGGGTATGAAATATCTTTGGTTAATAATAGATTGTTGTTTAAATTCTGTTGTTGAAACTTTGCCCTAATTTTTTTGATTAGTTTTTTTAAAAATTTTGTTGTGGGTTGGTTATTGTTGTTTAATTTTGGTAATATTATGCTACTACACTAAAATTCTATAATTTTGATTATTATAATTGGTATTTAAAAAGTAAGAAATTTTTTAATCATTTACATTTTCTAATGAATATTTAGTATATTGGAATGTTGGAAGCATGATGCGTTTCTTTTTGTGTTCTTTGATATGTACCCTCAAGTATTTTTTTAATGACCGGGTGTTCAGGTTAGCTTACGCGCACCTCAACTAACCCTGGGACCCACGCAAAGCACCCCCTTCACGTGAGTAGGGCAAATCTTGAGCAGAGCCCGCAGGCGACACCACATCACGAAACACTTAGGCTTTGGTTCACTTTTCTCCCTGAATAGCAATGCTTTACATGGGATGGTAACAACAAGCTCCATCCAATAGTCAACTAACCAATAAATTTTGTCAATATCATCATATCAATCTTCCAATAGATAGTCTTGATATGAATAGGATTTTCAAGGGGGGCGGACAACTTTCATAGAATAATGTACATGCCCCGGCGTAGTTGTCATGATACCGCCATGCTTACTCAACACCGAGCACAATTCTCACTTTCACTCCATTGATTTGCAATTAGTTTCCTCATTTCATTATATGATATTCCCAAAATTATTCACTTTGCTTGGTTACAGTTTTTCAAAAACATTTTTCAAAAAATTCTACTTTCTTGTTTTCTGTGTTTTTTTATTTTTACTAAATTTTTTTAATATTTTAAGCAATTTTTTTTTTTTTACTTTTTAGATATACCTAACATAAATATACCTAAAAAGTAAAAAATTTGTAAAAAAAACCTTTTAAAAATTCACTAAATACCAAAAATACAAAAAAAATACGAGAATTCAGTATATTTTTTGTATTTTTATGTATTTATTAATTGTTTTAAATATTTTTTCGCAAATTTTTTACTTTTTAAATACATCTAAGTAAGGTGCATCTAAAAAAATTTTAAAAAAAAAAAATTTAAAATTTTACAAATATTCACTAAAAACAAAAAAACACGAAAATAAAAAAACTTAGTTTTCAAAAAACTTAATCCAAAAAATTCAAACCAAACACACTGATTATTATCTTAATCTTCCTTTGAAAACAAGGATTATCCAAGCAACATGTATAGATGCTCGTGCGTACCATACAATAATTAAGTGGCTTATGAACAGAATAGAAGTTCAATTCTTCTCCATGTCCCATGCCCTAGCCAAACTTAGGCCCTAGAGACGTATTTCCGAATTTTATTTTTTTCCTGCTTTTTATCTAGGTGATACTCATTTTTAAGGGTCTACCCTCGTGTAAGTGCACATTTTTACACATAAGACTCCTTTGAATGAGGAAAAATATATATAGGTTGCAACTATGAGGCAAAAATTACATAACATCAACAATTAATGATCCTTTGGAGAACCATCTAGTATCCATGGTGCCCCATTAATGACTGTATACCCCAATGTTTTTTAAGGCGAAAAGCGAACCAAGGGGACAAGGTCTCCTAACGCCTAAGCGCGAGGCGACGAGGCGAAACGAGGGCTTCATCGAATCGAGGTGACCACAAACGACATTTTTTTAAAATAAATCGTATAGACAAAAATATAAATATTTTCAAGAACCATCATACATTTATCATTCCAAATACTAAGGCCTCGTTTGGGAACAGGCTAATTTAGTAACTTTTTGGCTATTTGGCTAAAATGTGATGTAAAAAAAACTAGTATGTTTGGGATGAATTTTTGGCTTTTTACGAAAAGATGTGCAAAAAGTAGAGAGAAAAAGGAATTTTTGACTTTTTGGTATGAGTTGTTGGCTTTTTGGCTTTTTTAGTAACTTTTTGGCTTTTTGGCTAAAATAGCCTCTTGCCAAACGAAGCCTAAATATCCATAAACAACAGAAAATATCCAACAAAGACAAATACAATCCAACAATCAAAAGGTTCTAAATAATTGAAATTTTTTCATTAATTCTAACCAACCAAGCAATTGAAATTTTTTCATTAAATAATTGAAAATTTTCAGCAAAATAATTAAAAAATTTCAGCAAAATTAATTGAAATTTTTTCATTAAATAATTGAAATTCTTCAACAAAATAATAGAAAATTTTTCAGTAAATAATTGAAAATTTTCAGCAAAATTAATTGAAATTGTTTCAGCAAAATAATTATATAATTAACACAGAAAAATAATTGTAAAATAACACAAAAAAATAATTAAAAAAAAAGAAAGAAGACAAGGAGAGAAAAAAATTAACAGAGTAGAGTAAACAAAATAATTAACAGAACCAGGAGAGAGAGAGAGAGAGGAAGAAGAGAGTATACAGAGTACAATTTTTCAAAGCAACAAAGTAAAAAAAAAATTAAAAAAATAAATAAATAAATAAATTAATTAAAAAATAAATAAAAAATAAAAGGTCTGCCTACATAGTATAATTTTTCAGATCAGAGTGAAAAAAAAAAAGATGAAGAAAGGAAGAAGAGACGAAAGGAAGAAGAAGAAAAGAAGACGAAGACGCAGCAGTAGGAGGAGAAGAAAGGAAGGTACTCACCTTTGTCCGAAGAAGGAAGAAGCAGCCGCAGGTAGTCAGTCAGTCATTTGAAGCAAATGTCGACTGAGAGGAAATCGACTTAGGGTTTCGACTGAGAGGAAATCGACTTAGGGTTTCGACTGAGAGGAAGTCGACATATGAAGAAGAAAGCAATCATAAAGTGCATCGCATGTCCACAATTAGCACAAAAGTCATCCAAATGAAAGGCCCAGATCTGTCGAACTGAAATCAGACCGAAATTAATGAAACGTCGCTTCGAATTGCCTCTCGCTTCGTCGCCTAAGCCTCGCCTCATGCGCTTCGACTTCGCCTCACCATTTCGCCTTGCCTCAGTGAGTCTGAAGCGCTACATCGTCGCCTCGCCTCACTTAGCGCTTAGGCAAGCGCTTACTCACGCCTCTGATAACACTGGTATACCCCACAATTATCCATGGTGAATATTATTAATAGAGTGAACTCTCTAATTATTGATATTGAATAAGGATAACACCAATGATTAATGACCTTTTGAGGGACCATCTAGCGTCCATGGTGGATTACTAATGATTTCACACTCACAGATTAACCCTTGTTGCATCTTTTAATAAGCAAAATATATTCAATAAAGGTGCTGTAACGGGTGCATATAGAATCAGAATGAAAAAAAATAATAATAATAAGAAAAATAAAAAAAAGCCATCCAAAATTAAAAAGAACGAAGTGAAATCATCTAAGTATGTCATCTCTACCATTTTGAAGGTTCGCCTACTCAGGTACCACCAGTTGCATGACAGCAGTGTTTTCAAAGGCGTGCATCAGGGCTAGGCAGGGCAATAACGCCTCAAGGAGTTCAATTTTATGCTCGACACCAACTAGGCGTATGCATCTAGGCCAAGGCATTTGACTCAGACACACATTTTGCGCTTTAATGGTCACAAGCCCCACGAGTACTGAGGTACAATTTTTATTTTTAAAATATATATATATGGAAAAATAAGAGGCGTCTTAGAAATACAAGAAGAAGGCAAACCTAGAGTTTTGATTCAACAGTTCATTGGCTTCCGATCTACGAAGACATTGATTTCAAGATTTGATTCTTCTTTTTCAAATTCAATTTGTTGCCTCTTGAGTCAGATTTGCAACAATGCCCAATAGGTAATCCTCTCTGTTTTTCTCAATTTCTCTCCCTTCGTCTCTCTCTCGCACTTTTTTTTTTTCATCAGCAACAAAATGAACTTTTATTCTCTCTCTCTCTCTCTCTCTCTCGTAATGTGTAATTTTGTCAATGGCCTCCTTTTCAAGTACACAAAATATCTATGTACACCAATATACACAAATGTCTTTAGTGATGATACATATAGTGGGTAGGGGGGAAAAATTGTGGTTGTATTTAAAAGCTCCCTCTATTGGTGTTTGCCTTTTTCAATGGAACTTAATGTAAGTTCATTAATGACTTTAATAAATTCATTACGTTTCAATGCTTGGAATGGCTTTTCTAATTTTAGTTGCTATTTTTTTTTCCCCTTCAAAAACTCCTTTTTATGCTATTTTTAATTAATTATACTGTACAAAAATATAAAAAATAAAAATAAAAATAAAAAAGCTTACGACTCGCCCCATGAGGGGTATAATGCCTCGCCTTGTGCTTTTGCTTTGAAGAACTTTGCATCACAGCACATTGACACTACCATCCAAGCCGTCCATTCGTTTTGGCATCACACCCACCCTCCCAAGTAACCCAAACAACTCCGATCAAATGGAGAATAAATAACATACTACACAATTCTCAAACCACCTAACATGACATAATAAATCACTCAATGGTCCACTGCACGCCCACCCATAAAACACCAATTTAAGATCATTTAATGCTCTTAAAAAAATTATCAATAGCAAGAATCAAAACCAATGTTGTGGTACAAATAAATAAAGTCAACTTGAAAGCTACCCACAATAATAATTAAATATATCCAATAATTAACAATATTTATCAAAAAAATATATATATATATCCAATAATTAACAAGGTTTGCAGAAAATATTAATGTATAGTTTAGAAGCCTAGAGCTAGAATAAAGATGAAAAAAGCGTATATATAGAGCTTTATAACAAGTGCATCTAAGTCTCGTACGTAAGCAACCAAAAATTATTGCAGTTGTACTATGATCCCTTAATTGTAAGCTGGAATAGAAATCAAACCACCAATAACCCTACAATGATTTGAGTTATACACTGACACTCATGGTTGGAATCTACAAGAGTTCATTGGTTTTGTTGCTACAATCAGATCAATTGCACGAGAAACAAGTGATTTTTCAATCATTGTAGAATTACCCTAGAAGTTATCTTTGAGTCCTAACCTATTTGCCTTAAAATTACCCTGAAGGATATCTTTTTAGTCCTTAACCTATTTGCCTCAGTCATAGACGAATTAACTAGACACATTCAAGATAATGTCCAATGGGGTATTTTGTTTGCAAATTATATTGTCCTAATAGATAAAAAGCATGAAACTAACGGTTGGTTTGGCATAAACTAAATAATACAAAAGTCAAAAAGTCACTATCCTATTTAGTCACATCATCTTATTTAAATCACATCACCTCTCTAACACATCACATCAAACCCAACCCAAACCCAACCCATATAAGCCAATAAGTCAAAAAGCGCACTTTTTTAGAACATCCCAAACCAACCCTAAAGAGAAATTAACTCTGAATAGCAGGGTTGAGATGTGGCCTCTGCAAAGGTATCAGGTTCACAAATATGGATGAAATTGCAAAAAATACTCAGGGGAATTAAAAAAATTGGAAGCTTAACAATAGAAGTTAGTGATCAATCCCACACAGATGCTATGTAGACCCACGGTGTTCAACCTCAGGCATTATTGATGATAAAAGGGGAAAGAATCTGATTGTCAAAAATGCACTGGGTGCAGGCAGAGACAAGAGAATGCCGATTTGTAGCAATGAAAAAATGAATACAAGTCTACAAAGATGACTCACTATTTGAATTTCTAAATACCAAAACACAACAGCCTAGAAATTCAAGTTTTCAACATAAGAATATTTGGTGATTAAAAGCATAGCGCACACAGATTTCATGTTGTTAGTAAAAAGAATTTTATGCATTGGATTCTTACCATACAAAAAATTTGCGAGTAAAACTTTCTGCAGAACTTTCAGCCTTTTGTCGTCTGCCTCGCCGAAAAAAGACATGTTGAGTTGTAAAGATCTATTATAGAAAACAAATATTTCAACTGAAAAGATAAAATCAACTTCGAGACCAACCTCAACAATTCAAATTATCAAATAGCAGAGATTGCTCCTTAAGTTAATACTAATACTATAAAGAATAGAAGCTGCAAACGAAATAACAAGAATTTACCTCCAGTACTGTCCAAGACAGCAGCTAACAAACTGGCAGGCTAACCAAAAGACTATCACTATTCATAGATGTCAATATATTTAGTATTGACATCCACGTCCTAGAAATTCCATGGTTTGGAGTTGAGGCTAATTCATTTTTTATCTTCCATCTGTGCCACTAAAATAATTTTATTTATGTTCATTGGGTTGTTACAAATCACATCTATTCTAATAATTTCAGGATTTGTTGTATGTGGGCTGTGGTAAAGGTCCGTAGAACATTTATGAATCATTTCAAGTTTTTGGATTTAATGGGGTTTATATTGAGCCCAAAAATAGTTTACACAGCCGCAGACTGAAGTATTTTTTTGTTGTTCTGGTCTCTTTTTTCCCCTTAATTTGTGATAAGCTATGAGCCTATGAGGCACTGACACTCCATTCATTTTGGTTGCAGTAGAGAAGAGCAATTGAGAGAGGCAAAGAGTATATCTCCATAAACAAAATCAATTGCCTCTCCCATCTTGGTAGTATTCCTCTTATCATCTTCAATTTACGTTGACTCTATGGTAATTTTTTGTGCAAATTTTTGAGAAATGTTAACACCATATCACTATTACTTCCTAAACAAAATATTGAGGTTGCATATATTTTTTTATGTATGATCTATTATGAATTTAAATACTTTTGACATTTGTGATGTAATGATTTTTTATTGATGAAACAGTATTTTGTGTGTTGAATGCTATTTGAATTATAGATCGAGTGGTTTCTAGTTGATAAGTATTTTCATTGTCTTGGTCGCATGAACTTACAAATGCAAGCAACTTGAAAACTAGTGTATTGGAAAATCGATTCTGCGGATATTGGAAGAACAATTGTTCATCTATATTTAGTTTCATTTCGTTTGTGATGCTGGCGTAAGGTTGGCTGCATATATGTATCATACACTTGACAATTCAAGCTGATTCCAACCTAGAGCCAACTTAAGAGTCGAACTTCCAAAATAGTAGTTAAAATAAGGACAAGAACCCTCAGCTCCTATCAGTAAATGACATACTACAAGCTACACCCCAAAAATTAATTTGTGCCAGTCATCCACTTTTATATATCATAATCTATTGCAAAAAATGTGGAATAGTTTTTTAAAAAAAAACCTTCGTAATGGGTATATACACTTGTAATGTGTTTCATGTGTGTATAGTGTTAGGAAGTGTCCAACAAGTGTCGTGTCCTGTCGTGTCGGTGTCAGACACGACACGTTAACTTTTTAGAAGAGTACGTGCTTCTTGGTTGGGCACTCTAGTTCATTTCTTACGTTTTGCTCCTATTCCTGCTGAGGACATGATAAAATCAAGCCAAAAAAAAAAAAAAGCAGCGGGCATCCTTTCTCAATTTTTTCTACAAAAGAAAAAGGCAGTAACTATTCACAGCCCCCACTCCCCCCAAAGCCATATTTTCATCAGCCTAAACAGGAAATGAACTTCAACCTTCTCCTCTCCACTTGGCTTATTAAAGGCCCAAAAACTATAATTGGTTGCTATCCAAAATGTTCCTGGACACATTATAATAAATCCAGCAACCCTTTCCATTGGTAACAAGCCAATGACCCACCAATTCAAATTCCCAAAGCCATTCTCCAACTTCTGACAACCCTAAACTACTAGTGCTTTACATAACCAATTGAACCACAATTAAGTCACTGTAGGTTGCTCCACTCAAGGTTTTCACTATGTCTCACGATAAGATTACATGGCAGAAGCACCCCCAATGACATGGAGTAGGTCATAAAAAATCAATAAAGAACAGCAAAAAAAAGAAACTCTAGACCTTAGGTTCACAGCTTTGATGACTAACTTGGCCAGCAATACATGTGCATCAATAAAACCAATATTTACCACCTAAAGATAAACTCTTCTAGAGCCATTGGTAAAACTAAACCATGCTTTTTTACTTTTGAACCACAAACTCATATTGGTATTAGATTACCTCCCTCTCTGTGAGGTTCTATGATTCCTGTAACATGAGTTAACAACACAGCATATTCTCTCTCTAACAAGTAGCCTGATGAAGCTACATCAGCAATCTAGTTACTCTGTTCAGTTGACATCAAATATCCCAACAGTCAACATCACTCTACAACCATTTAATGAGTAAGAAACCAAATATAATAACATCTCCGTTTTCACCTCTTGCTTCTCTTTTTTATTTCCTGTCTTTTCTTTTATTGATTTACAGGATTCAATCATAACCTACTCAAAAGAAACGTTCCACAATCCTAAGTTCAAAAATACATCTAGAGGCATTCATTTAAGAAACTGCTAATCTATTGCAAAACACTAAACTTAGAACACTCTCAACCAGAAGCAGAAAGCATTGCCTTCCCATTGGATGTGAAAACTACTTTGCTAGTATGGAAAAAAAATAAAATATATATGCTAATATTGCCATTTTCGTGGTTCACTTTTTTTCATCTCTCTTTGAATTTCACAATCATATAAGACTTAGGATAATGAATGCTATTGTCATTCATAAGCATAACATAGACTGAAGAAACCTGGGTTCAAACGATAAATAATCTTGCACTTAATATATCAAACCAAAGCATCTAGAACTAACAAAGAGTTAAGAGCTACAAAATAATGACAACCTAGGGGCTAGGATCCAAATACAGAAGTGAAATTGTCTTCCAGTATAATTTAGAAGCATTAAAAGCAAGCAGAGCAACACATTGAATTTCAACTTCACAGGTACAGATCCGTCTATCAGTCCTATCCCAATAAATTATTCTTCATGGTTTCTGCTCTTGGCCTTTGCTCAGAAGTGTACAAGAAAAACAGGTCTATACTGTTTTTCATAACAAATAGCATGTCATTCCAAGGCAAGAAAACTCAGGACAGAAGTAATCATGATTTTTCAGATCATTCCAACCGTAAGTTCGAGTCTCCATTTCAAATAAGCATTTTTGCACTTAATCATCACATGATTCATGTCAAACTCGAGATGCCTTTCCCAACAACATTATAGGAAATTCAAATTCAAACACCCTTTCTAATGATTGAACATTCCAGTACATGAAACTGGAACATTAGCAACAAAATCAAAAGAAGCCTCACTGGGAGAATCAAGGATTCATACAATACTTGGGTGAAAAATCAATTTACTATTGGTTCTTTAACTGAAACCTATGTCGAATGTTTGGAGGCACTCTTTATTGATGAAAGATCAGTGATGTTGTCATGAGAATTGTGGTACGTCAACAGTGCTTAGTTGCACGAAGCAGGATTGGGAGCGGGGGTTGGCGGAGGAATAAGGGCATATAGAAAGTTTTTAAGGCTAGGAGCGCTGCTTACGGGGGAGAGTATATATTTATATAATAAATATATTCTAACAACTATTTTTTCCTGCTTAGTTATAATGTGTTAAAACATTAATAAATATTAGAAATTAATATCAACTATAAATTGTCTTTTGTTGAGTATAAATATAATGTAAATAGAAAATATTTAAAAAGTTTTAGTTGTTTCTTTTGTTTTTTTAAGATTTATATGTATGAAAGGTTCTATCTCAGTTGGGAGTGACCTTCTTCCTTAACAGGGGCGAGTTTCTTACAACTTTCTTACTTTCGAGCGCAAAATTGAGTTCTGGTTTCTGAGTAAGAAACATCATCCCAGTAGGAGTTTTGTGCTACTAAGCAATAGTGTACTCAATCAATGTTTGAAGGACCTACAACTTGCATCAACTCCTCATGGCAATTGGGGGGACTTGGCGGATCCAGTGGAAAAACTGGGGGTCCGTATGAGCATTTGGTACATGTATGATGTATCAGTACATGAAAAAGCACTACCAAGGATTCCCCCCCTGAATCTTAGATAGGCCATCCAAGGGTTCGACGCGACATGGGTAGACTTGTTCGAACTAAATGGCTCATTTTTTTCACAAAAATTGTCCATTCAAAACTCCACTCTCCCAAGACTTAGTTCATTATACTTGATTTGTTTTCTTCCTAAGGGAACTTCCAAGGAAATATATGAGAAAAAAAATTAGGATCACTTTTGATATCTAAATTCAATGTGTGCTATTAGCATAACGCATACTTTTTTCTCAGCAAACTTACACGTTACAACAACAAAGTTGTTCAAAGGTTCAAGTTACTTTAAAAATACCTCACACAAGGCAAAAGGGCAAGAGATTACAGTGAAAGTGAATGGCCAGCTATTCAAGTGCCTATGCACTCAGACAAAAGCATCATTTTTCAATTCAAACAAAGCTAGAAGCAAACAAAGTCTGACAGTTAATCATTTAATGCTACACACCTGTGCAACATACCAAGAAAACAGTTCGGTAGACAGCCTAGGGCAATTAATGACCTGAAACCTAATCAGTGATCACCACTGTGAATGGTCAAGATTGCACAAGGTTAATCTAAACTCAGGAACATCCCATTTGAAAGTAAGGGAGCCTATTACCCCCAACAAACTTAAAAGTCATCTCAAAATAGCAAAAAAATTAAAGAGAACATACAAAATTCCTCAACACCTTGCCCCTGCAAAGCACGGATACGACACGGACACACGAACACGTAAATTTCAAAAAAATGTAGGGCATGACACGTGGGGAACACGTGCAAACTATATAATTTTATATATCATATATATGAATATTTTAGTCAAAGATAATAATTTTTAAAGTCTAAAGGAAGAGAGAAGTAAAATTTTACAATATTTTCGTTTTATCATTAAATTTCAAATTATTTTATTTAGGCCTGTAACGTGTTTAATTTGTGTCGAAGTGTTGGGAAGTGTCTGACGAGTGTCGTGTCGTGTAGTGTCAGTGCCCGACACAATGTCAGACATGACACGTTACATCATTTTTATCTTTGCATCTTCCTTTCTGGTTCATTCAGTTACAGCCACGAAGTGCTCAGAAGACAAACCAGCCAAACAACACCGCAAGAAAACACACAAATTCCAGCGTCACATTTTGGGGCCACAGTATACGATCACGATTCAACTCTGCTAAAAAGTAAAGCCAAATAAATAAGGAATTCAGCTTCAAAAAGCTTCTTTAAAAAAATAAGATGGTATTTTATTAAATAATTCAACTAATCCAACACAGTTTCTGCCTTGTTTCTCTGTCATGATTTTTAGTACTTTTCCAGTCATAGTTTCTGGTGTCCTTCAATTTTTTTCAAATGTCACTGTACTTACATTCCCCTAAATGTATTGACTACGAACTTCCGGTTCACAACTAAAATCATTAGAATGCCAAGGGTGATTGAATGTGAAATTCCTTCAACTTGAAGTAAATGAAATTAAACGTTGTGGGGAAGATAGGTTAATTCAAAGAAAAGATGAATCCTCCAAACTCAAGCCCATGCGATCAATAAGCTCGAGCGCAATATGTTATATGTCAGCACATCAACCAGGGAAGCATGACAGACCTCCTAGGTAGCATGTCACAAGTTGGATATGCCTCCAAACGGGGCTTTTTTTAGTTTGTTTAAATAGGACACCCTTTGCACATGTGGCAGACACCTAAATGTATTGCCTAGACAAATACAAAACAAATAAAAATAAATAAATTTTAAAAGTGTGTAGATTTGCAAATTAAGCACATCATATTCCATGCTTCAATTGTTCACTACACCAATTTATTCCTGCTCCAGGCTTTTAAATTTTTGAAACTGTAGCCCTTACAACTTCCAATTTGCTTGAGATAATTACGAATTTTTTAAAATGAACATTGGGCTATCTTTCCTCACTTCTTCCCAACATGCATATCATTTTCACAGATGTGTTTGCGTGTGACAGTTTGTGTATTTAATAATGAGAAATCTTAGAGACACTAACAATTTTAATAACACACACACAAGATTTGCAAGGGTTCCCTCATCACGTGATGGTGAGCCCCCACCAAAGCTTGTGACTTGTGAGCATATTAGTAAGATTATTTTAGTAGGGAGTGTTAAGAGTCCCTAATATCGTTGTTTAATAATTACGTCATGGTTGGGCTGCTCCATCATGTCTCTATCCTAATTTTTAAAAATTTGCCAATTCAAAATGTTCATAGCATGCCGTATCTATGTCCCACCAGGTTACGTCAGAAAATATTTTCATTTTCAATGCTTGCTTTGTACAAGAATACAAGTCTACACACTACAATGTAGCGTGAATAACTACATTTAATTAACATTTAAAATGGTTACTTGATAACAAAATCAATAGCCAAGCCACTAAGTTTTGGATTAGAGACTCCTTATCTCTTTCAAATAAGCTAGCTAACTTAAACTAGGAAAAAATGTCACTTCAACCAGTGATCAATGTCACTTCAACAAGTTACCTCATGGACTTTTCACTTTCACTACTGCAATTATAGCGCAGCAACTAATTAAAATTGGAAGGGAACAAGAAGGAAAAAAAAAAGGCAGAGGAGCTAGCCAGGCTACATTTGTACCTTTTGAGTTACAAACAATGGTATTCCAAAAGTGAAAACGGTTATAAATGTTCTAAATACATTTTCCACACAAAACATATTTGTCCATGGGAGAGGAGGGGAGACGGAGAGGAAGTTTGGTTAAGAACTATGTTACCTGGAATGTGGATCGTTCCAGTATGTAAAATGGGAACGAGAACGCGATACGATAGAGGTGGACTTGTATACATTACACTTAAGAATTTAAAGTACTTCTAGAATAATTTTCTTTTAATTATTAGGTATCTAATAAAATGCAGGTTTTTTTTTTTTCAGGCAGCAAAACATTTATACGAGCATTATGACACATTTTTTATGTTTTGTTTTTGGGATCACTTTGGATCACTAAATTTATTGTTTTTGAATGGAAGTGTACCATGTTTCGGAACGTGCATACCAATACGTAATTCGCTAAGGTATTAGTGTTTTATGGTAACACAAGTTAAAAAATTATATTCATCTTCAAATCCTAATTAGGACATGCGATTTCCATCTTTGAATGAGCAATTGAAACAAGCTCCAGGAATGGCCCACTGATGTCAAAGGATGAGAGAAGGACAAGCATCAAACAAGCCAGTCCAAGTTTTGGCACCAAAAATAAAAAGCATAAAACATCTAAAAAGCATATATGCTATCCAGAAAGGACACTTTGCAGAGAGAAGTGTGATAAAACAATGTCAACCCAAATCCCCTATGTGCACCCATTTAACACACAACATGCTCATCAAATGCACATTTCAGCCAAAAACTACAGCCTAGACATGGCATCTACAGAAAGCACCTCACTTTTTCAATAAAAATAACTAAAAAACTGCTCAAATGAGTGATAGCACAATATCACATTAGCTGAAGTATCAATTAAACATAAAATATCCCACTACTAAAGATGTCCAATCAAAAAAAAAAAAAAACCAAAAAAACTTAACTGCAACTGAAACTTCAGTTCCAAAATACCATCTCCACTAAAAGAGCAGCAACCTGAAATGACAAAACTAGCATAAACCACCCCGAATGATGAAGAGAGAGACATAGAAGGGCATATGATTTCCAAATTTGAAATTACCGAGACAGAACTTCAATCCCATGTCAAGGTGAGCCTGCTTCAGTCCATCTTGCAGCATGCCACAATGAGTCAAGGCCTGTTGCCACGAACTCCATAACTGGAATCTCTTGACTTGCTTGCCTCCTCAAGTGAAGAATGATCATTGGAAGTTCTACAAATCAAAGGGGGCAAAAAAAGAACTCTTTTAAGTTTCGAAAAAATTATACCATTTTTTTTTAAAACTGATGACAACGTACCTCTGCTTCTTTGCATTCTGCTGCTTTATGCTTCGAACAATATTCATAGCCACCTTTTGGTGATCCCTTGTTTGTGAATGCACGTCTAACCCTTCCACTGTTTCACAGTCAATTTCACAAATTCGGCACCACCCCATGCTTGCAGGCTTCCGCTTCCTTGAGTTGTCAAAAGGATCCATGACACCCTGAAGAAATAAATACATCCAAACAAAAAGATGCACTCCACATATTCATATGCACAAAAAACAAGAATTCTGCAGGCAACAGCCTTGCAACCAAAATTTACAGAGAGGCTAAAAGCACTTACAGCGAGGGAATAACCACTCCTAAATCCAGGCTCACCAAGACGTGGATGGCCTGACTTGTTTCCTCCAAATGGTTCGCCAAGAGGTAGCTGGTGGGGGGGGTTTCCAGGACCAGGCACGTACCCTGCACGCCCATGACCAGGAAAAGCACCAAAACCAGCAGGTTCACCAAAACGCAAATCACCAGGTAAGTTCCAAGAGCCACAAAATTCACCCCTCCTTACATGGCTAGGGAGAATATCTAAATCATTTATTCGCACATTCCCTGGCCTATCAAGCTCGACTCTTAGCAAGTGATCAGGCAACGGAGGAAACCTACTTTCAGGAAATGAGTTGCCAGCTGAGCCGGAAGGCAAATTGAAGGATCTGGGTCCTTCACCATATGGACGTGATTCACGGTCCTCAAAATCATCCAAGCATGACTGGTTACGTGGGAAACCAGAAAGACGTCCAAAATCATGAGTTGAAAAACCAGGATATTCTCTACCCGGGCTCCTAGGAGTTGACCGATCCATATGATGCTGACCAAATCCAGGAATTGGTCTAGGAAAATCGGGATGAGTACGTGTAGAATCAGCTCTACCAATACCATCAGGACCCACTGGTTGTGCTCTATCTCCGGCGTCATTCGAACCACCAGGATGACATGAAGGCAAGAATCTAGGAGCATCACCAGCACCTGTATCTAACTTCAATCCGGGTTCATAGTTTAATCCATGGGGTGCCTTGTCTAGAGGCCTCGATAATGCATGTACAGAAAAACCGTGAGGTTCCCTATCATTAAGCCTTGTCGAGGAATGATAACTCCCAGACTTTGCTGATGGCTCAGTGTCCAAATGAAGGTGCCTAGGAAATTGTTTCAGATCTGCAAACTCACTTCGGTCAACACGCCGAGCTGGTTCTATTGGGATGCAATTCAAACCCTCCTCCTTCAGACGCTTGAACCTTTCATCATGCAAACCAAATTTAGAAGAGGAATCATTATCTGCGGCCTCATTCATTCTCATCTTATGTGATTCAATACCAGAAGACTGTCCAAATGGAGCCCTCTCAGAAGAGCCAGGCAAATGGGAGTCATGTTGTCGGCCATCCAAGTGATGGGACCTTTGGGTAGAAAATATTTCACTTCCAACTGGATTAGTAGGATGCTGCGGACCAGGATTTTCACATTGAGACATTCTAGCGAGCCCAGCATGTAAAGGAGGCACGTGACCTTGATTATAATGCCCTTGAGGAGAAACAGATTGTGGTTCAATAGTTCTCTCAGGACAACCAATATGACTAGCTTCCCTCCCAAATGATGTTGAGCTTGGACCTGGGATTCCCCCAGAAGCAGATTCAGGATGTAAAGAACCATGAGGTTGCTTCAGCACAGGTGGCTGGAAATGATCAGGTGGGTTTAAAGGCTGTCCTGGCGGACGTAAATCACCAGTTCCTTGAGGCCTTGACACATTAGGGGGTTGCCCTAACATTTGTGCATGATGTGGGGGTCCAGGAGGAAGTGCTGATTGTAACATCGTAGCCCCAGAAGGCCTTTGTTGATGTGTAGAACCTCCATAATGTACTGGCATATGTTGATGCCTACCTAGATCAGTTGGTGGAAAAGGATGAGTAGAATGCATAACGCCCATGCCCTGCATCTGACCATATGAAGGGAAGCTCCTAAATTCATCAACACCAGGCCCTTGAGGTGCAGGTTGGGATTGACTCAAATTTCTTTCCAGAGAACCATGCTGTACAAGATCCCTACCAGTAAGAGGAGTCTGAGACTGAACAGAATTGTCAGGGACAGCATCTTTTGTTAACTTCCCACCCTGTTCCTTGAAAGATTCTGCTTGTTGAAATAAAGTATCATTCGGTGTGGAATGCTCCCCTCGTTGAGAGACATCAGTGGCATCTTTGTGTTCCACAGCTACAATTTCAACAGATTTACCATCAGGTGAAGACTGCAGCCAACTCTCATTACCCTCTTTCTTAACCATATGCCTGATTGCAGGCTCCACAGAAGTATTTTCCCCTGCATGCAACTTGAAGTTCGTATCCTTGCCATACATAACCTTACTATCATTACCTTCATCTCCACCTATAGGTTTCTGTACACTTGTTTCAGATTTGAAAATTTTCACTTCAACTGAATCAGCTCCAAGACCAGATGTTGGAATCAACACACTTGAGTCCTGCGCATCTTTCTGAGCGGATAATCCATCTTTTTTATCAGCTTCACTTTTTGCAGGCATATGATCACCCTGCCTCTCAAGCCCAGTAGGCTTCAAGGGCAGCCCTGTTTGGACAATTTGTTGCTCAGAAGATATATGCAGTAGATTGTTGGTCCTCGGAGGATAATTTTGATTTGTCAGAGGCTGGTTTGCACCAAGCTGCATTGGCCTAACTTGAGCTGCACCACCAAATCCAGCAGGAGATTGTGAAAAGGGCTGTGATTGTGCAGCATGATCCAGTACCATTGGTCTTGCAGCAAAATTCTGAGACTGATGAAGTGGCAAGCCATGCAATGGTGCAACATTATGCTGTGATGACATGTAGGTAAGAGCATTTTGCTGTGCCGAATGAGATGGGGCCTGAGTACAAAGCTGAGACTTCACAGGCTGCTGCTGCTGTATGAAATGGCCATGTGGATGCAACTGATTCTGAACCGGAACAGATGTTTGCCCTGGAAATGGTTGCTGATGTTGCAAACGTTGCTGAGGCACTGGCTGTTGAATTGGCTGCAGAATAGGGCATTGCTGACCTGGATGGCCAGGTTGCTGAGCATGAGAATGAATTGACTGTGGTTGCCCTGGAGGGATGCTTGGAACCTTACCCTGTGGAGGCAACAAAACAGGCTGTTGTTGATTTGGTACTCGAGCATGAGATGGGGGCGGACGCATCTGAGCAGTTTGCTGAGGGAATTGGCTGGGCATTTGGATAGGATGCTGAGGAATAGACCCACCCTGGGGATGCATGTGAGGGGGTTGTTGGGCTCCCAACGGCATTTGCTGGTGAACCTGAGGTTGTAAATACAACTGATGACCTGTAACTGCATTTGAGTGTTGTGTCTGCAGCTGAGCATTTGGATTCACCGGCTGATTGATTTGAGGCAGGGGATGGAGTTGTGGAGGATGGGGAAGCTGGGCTTGTGGCTGAGCTTGCGGGGGAATTTGAGGCTGCATTTGTTGAAGGGGTTGAGATTGAGACTGACTTTGTCTTTGTGGATGCTGCATCTGAGATTGAGGCTGCTGATACTGGGGCACAAGCACATGTTGTGGATGAGGCTGAATTAGATGCGGCTGTGGGTGCGGCTGAGCTCCAGCATATGGCTGAGGCTGGGACAGGGGATGGGAGTGACCATGGGGTTGTGGAGGGTGAGCCTGTGACTGCATTTGAGAAGGGGGTTGCACCGCAGGGTGAAGTTGATGTTGTGGAACCACCGGAGTATGAACATGGTGAAGAGGTTGAGGCTGAATTTGTGCCAGGGGTTGAATTTGGGCCAGAGGGGCCCGGGGCTGAACTTGTGGCTGAGGCAGAATATGGGTTGGGAGTTGGGGTTGGGGTTGGGGTTGGGAGTAGACCGAAGGTTGGTGGTATTGCTGAATTGATTGTTGTTGATTTGGGTAATAACTTTGATAAGACTGCTGATAAGGGTCATGTCCAGGATACTGCTGGTAGTATTGCTGATACTGCTGTTGATTCCACTGTTCAGGGGTTGGCACAGCAGACGGAGCCACAGCGTGCACCTGAGAATTCGCATTAACCTGCAGATTGGGGGCCTGTCCAGCTGGAGGGGCAGCCACAGTTTGTGAAGTCTGGGCCTGAGAAGTCGATGCCCCAGATTGAGTAGCAGTCTGGGTCTGCTTGGCTTTAGTTGATGTCGCTGTGGCTGCAATGTCCTGCACGCCCTCTATCTGTGGTGCTTGAGGTTGCAGACCCTGTTGTTTAAAAATTCAAATAAGAACTAAGTAAAACAAAAATATCTTTTATAAATATGAAAGCTTAGGCCATGTGAACTCACAGGACAAATCTGCGCATGTTCCTGCACTTGACGATGCACGATTTGGATTCCACACCTGTTGCATATAACTGGGGAGTTTCCAAAGGCACAACCAGAGCAGTGGGAAGTACACTCAGATAAAGGACCCTGCCATTGGCATCCGCTCCTGAGATAGAGACAATGAACTGCTATTTTGCCTATAGTTCCAGCCAGTGCTTTGTTGGATTCTACAAGAGGCTGCAAAAAAAATGTCATTAAATAACTGTAGATTCATAAGAGAACACTTAGTCAGACAAGTCAAAAGAATGATTGGGAGAAGTTAACCTTCGAATCTGCTTCCGTCACCAAGTATCCATCATAGGGGCAAGCCTGAGTAGTGCCCACAATGTATGTCAAACATGGTTTGCAATATAGATGAGTGCACTTTGACTGAAGTGCTTCATCTGGGTAGACGAGTAGGCGACAAACAGGGCAAAAGTACTCTCCAGCAAGACACTGAATATTTAGTATGCACTCATTATCAAACCCCATGCTGTCTCAGAATTGTGCCTTCAACTTCAGCCAAACATCAATGAAATGGATCTAACAAGTAAAAAAGCAGGGGTTCTTATATCAGCTGCCATAGGGGGGGAAATGAACATGCACTAGCCAACAATGCTTTGAACAGCCAATGACAATAACGACTACATTGGTAAAACAACAACAAGAGAAAATGAACAAGATAACCCTGTATTGACTAATACTCACAACAAGGACAATAACGACTATATTGGTAAAACAATAACAAGAGAAAATGAACAAGATTACCCTAAATTGACTAATCCTCACAATATCTAAGTTTTTAGCTTGTTTTGTTATAGTTTGCAACAGAAAAGACAATGACTGCATAAGTTCAATATTAGATAAGCACAAGATAATAACCACCATATCAACCTCTGTTCATTCCATCACATGTAAGCCCTGAACACAAGCATTGATAAATTGAACAATCACCCAATCACATAATATAGCAAAATTTGCAATCTACTGATATACAAAATGAATGTATCATAACATAACAGCCAATTAAAATTAAAACTGAAAACTAGATTCCTCCCCAAAATTCCCTTCATATAGGCAAAAATGCCTAACAACTTCAAAAAATTATGTACAAATAAATCATGCAGACAAATAACTAATTGTTAAAATCTACCATAAATGTAATCTTCCCAGAAAAATTAAATCAAAAATATTCCAATAAATGTGATTTGTTCATCCTTTTTCTCTTTTTTTCTCAAAGTGGGCAAGACCAGTTTTTTTCTCCTTTTATTTTTTCCTCATTCTCTCTCTTCTGTTTATAAAATATATTATACAACCATTTTATCAATTCTGCAAGACACAATAATTACTCATTATGTGTTGCCATGTTTGAGAGATATTACCTCTTTCAAATGTTGAATCTTACATTTAATTCTTTCCACTGTCACTTGCCGGAAGAAAAAAATATATTTTCAGGTAAAATATTGCCCCACCCCCCACTTAACAAAAATCCTATCCGCCCCTAAATGCAAAATAACCAAATCTACTACAAAATCCTTTTACATTACAGGTAGAAAAAAAAAATTGGGAATGCCACTATTTGAATGCAATACTGTCCCCATCTGGGAAAAAGCCAAAAAGCCAAAAATTCAAGAACAATGATCCTCTAGAGTGAAAGTTGTCTGCAGTGTTGTGGAGTGAAACAAAATGGCATCGTTCTAATCAAAATGACGTCGTTTTGATCAAGGGAGGGAGAGAGAGAGAGAGAGAGAGAGAGAGAGAGAGAGAGGGGAAAGAAGGCAGATTGATGAGAGAGAAAAAAATACATACGCCGGAATTCTTCCATCATCAAACCCACCCTCACCGGCGGCGGCCACCCATTCCCACACCCTCCTCCGGCCAACCATCAAAATGACTCGTTTTGAGAGTGATAATTTTTAAACAAAATAAAATAAAATCACATCTATACTTTTAGATCAGATCTACAGAATATGAGGGGAAGTAAAAAAAACTCATATTCAACACATAAAAGCTGCAATGTATTGTAAGCACGTGAGCTCAACTGTTTAAGTATATCTTAGTATATATAAGGATCAGAGTGGAGCTCTTAAATACAATTGCTAACTCAATTTAATACAAAATCAAAACGACGTCGTTTTGATTGGGGGGGGGGGGGGGGGGAAAGAAAAAAAAGAAGGCAGATTGATGAGAGAGAAAAATATACATACACTGGAATTCTTCCATCACCAAACCCACCCTCAATGGTGGTAGCCACCAATTCCCCCACCCTCACCGACCTCCGCCAGTTGCTCCCTCACCCTCCTCCAGCCAACCATCAAAATGACACGTTTTGTAGATCTGAACGTCATTTTGATGGTTGGCCGAAGGAGGGTGGGGATGCGATCGGCGAGGGTGGGGGAACGAGTGGCCGCCGCCGATGAGGGTGGGTTTGGCAGTGGAAGAATTCCGACGTACGTATATTTTTCTCTCTCATTGATCGGCCTGCCTGCCTTCTTTTCTTTTCTTTTCTTTCTTAATCAAAACGAAAATGACGCCATATTGTTTCACTCCACACCACCACAGACAACTTTCACTATAGAAAATCCTTGCCCAAAATTCAACCCCAATAGCAAAGGATAACATCATACACATCAATTAATCAATAACTTTTTTCCTCACAACTACCTATTCAACTAAAAAAAAATCCCAAACATTAACTTTGTTTTCACCTCATAAAAAAACCAAAAAGCCACTAAAAAAACAAGGTCCCAAACGGACCACTACATAAAACAACAAGGACACCAAATAATGAAACATGCATGGCGAATGGAATTAAGATTCCCAATAACAAAAAGTAATCTACATAAATATTTACAGATCAACATAAACTTCTCTTCTACTTCCATTTAGATTGATTGATTAATGTAAATTTCAAGAAGCATACTAAAATTAACTCAATCAATACAGAGTGACAAACCTCAAGAGGCAGGTAGATAAATTAACACTTACCATCAACAATAATCGCGCATGGGACATCAATGATTTATTTATTTAACCTCACTTCATTGCCAAAAAAAGAGTTCAAAAGGTAGTTGGAAATGTTGACGGCAAAAAATTATAATTTGTTTTGCAATTACTAGCTGTTGTCTACTGCCAAATTTTAAATGGTAGTTAAACTTTTATGTCATTTATTCATTATTGTCTGATAGACAAATTTAAAATACAGTTAAAATTAACCATCAAACTTACAGTTTAAATTTAAAAAGTTAAAATTTAATATGCTTGGGTTAAGTTAGTATTAGTACGATTCAATGAAATTTTTATTGGAAAAAAAACAAGACCTATTTGATATTTTCTTAAATTTAAAAGGTAGTTAAAATTTTAATTTATTTCATTGACCTGTTTGACTTTTTACACTTTGTTTGGTTCGAGTGATTTGAAGAGAAAAGAAAATAAATTGAGAGAAATAGATTTCAATCCCTTATTTGGATTACTAAATAAGAGATAAATGGAAAGAAATTGAGGGAAAAAACATTTCTCTCATAACCCTAGTTTCAACCTCTCCACACATGAAGAGAAATTGAGAGAAATGAAAACAATTAAATATTATTTTGTTGTTAATACCAAAATTACCCTTTTAGGTATAGAACAAATAAAAATACTAACATCTATAAAAAAGTTAATTTGGTAATATAACATCATATCATTTATTTTCTTTTCTTTTATATAGTTTAACCAAAAAAAATAGGAGGGAAATCAATATCATTTTCTTTTCTTTTTTGTCTTACCCATCTATCTAAATAAAAGTTGGAAAAATCACAATATTTTCTTCTCTTCTCCTTTCTCTTATAATTTACTAAATCATTTCGTTTCTTCTCTCTCAAGTTACCAAACATAGCGTTAATTTTTTACAAGAAGATGTAAAAAAATTGAATGAGTAAAATGGAATCTTTTGACCTTTTCATAGTTTTGACTTCGAAAAATCCTTAGACATCCCAAAATTTTTATCAAAATTTCTATCAAATGAGACCTACATGGCACTGTGGATCCCACACCCCATTTGGTAAAATTTTTGAATCTATAGCATCACTCTTTGATTTTTTAACTTTTTTTTAGCTTTTAGACTATTTTCCAATGTTACCAAACGAGGCCTAAAAAAAAACTCAATCGATACAGACTACAGAGTAGCAAACCTCAAAAGGCAGGTAGATGAATTACCACTTACCATCAGCGATAATCGCACGGGACATCAAATTGCCTCGCCCAAAATCGATCAGATACAAAATCAAACACTGAAATGAACGGTAAATCAATCAAAATCAGGCATGCATGGCGATAAGCGAAGAGAATCTCACATATACAGAATCAAGAATCGATTTTTACATCACGACTTCACCCAAAACCAAGAAAATTGAGAAACACAACAGGACATATAAAAATTAAAATTAAAATTAAAAAAAAAAAAGATCAGCAAAAAATAATCGAAATTTATCATATATATGTAAACATAGATCTCGAACCTGAGATTTGCAGATGTAACGTATCGATCTGGTACAGTGAAATCAAGGTTCGAGGGTTTTCGAAGGTTGAGAAGGAGTGAGAGCATTCGAAGTAGAGCTAGCGACTGATTCGAGGCTCGAAGAGAGAGAAAGAGAGAGCAAGCTACAGAGCAGAGGCGAAGAAGGCGGTGGTTATATAGGAGGTGAAAAACAGTGGGCCCGTTTGCTTCTGTTCTAGTGATGTACCGGAAGTAAGCGGTATACCCTAACGCTTCTTCACAACCAGCCATTAATGTTTGGATGTTCCAAATCTAACTGAGATTTTTCAAATTGACAAAAAAAAAAAAAATAATTTATTTATTTACAAAAATGATATATAAGCTTATTTTTTATACATATTTTTCATATTTGATACGTAAGTGATATAATTAGTTGAATTGAAAAGATATAAAAGATAGTATTGTCTTAGATACAAAAAAAAAAAAAGAATAATTTATTTATTTACAAAAATGATATATAAGCTTATTTTTTATACATATTTTTCATATTTGATACGTAAGTGATATAATTAGTTGAATTGAAAAGATATAAAAGATAGTATTATCTTAGATATCTTAATTGATTGCCACATTATTAGATTTGAAATTTGAGTATAATTTTTACACTTGTATAATAATGGCCGTTTATTTATTAGTCACCAATTTTTTCATTTTTTCCCAAACTTTCCATTATTTTTTTAATATTAGACTATGTTACAAAAGCATTAAAGAAGAGAAAAAACTACCAAAAAAGAAAAAAGACAAAAATCGTCCAATAATCCCAGGGGCTTTCACTTTGACACGTCTTCGCTCATAATCGCGTCTGCAATGCATGGAAGGATTTGGATAGCGGATAAGGAGCTGACTGATCAATTTCAAATTGTTGGTTTCTGTTTTGAATTCACTTTAGATCAATAATGTTTATTTCATTCGTCGAGATAGTGTTGGTGTTTCATATATTTTAATTATATATCAAGACCAATCAGTAACTTGGAGACCGAAATAGAATTTCGTGTCTAGCTACTTTCGCAATCACCCTTACGACTTGAATCCAAACTATGCCATACATTATTTCCAATGAAAAAAAAATTGCCGACCTGATTCTGAAAGTTGTAATGCAAACTGCTTTCTTGAGCTTGCATATGCGTTGATTTTATCGAACTGCGCTTATCCGCACCAGAGGCTCCGTCTCATTCAGTTTTTTGCTTTTGAAGGTAATTAAAACACGTTTTTCAAATGAACGATACAGATTATTTCGAGATTTTCTTTAGAATCGGCGAATGGAATGAAGAAAGATAGGAAGTGAGGGATGGACAATTAGAGCTTTTGATGTCCCAAATGGATCAGGGTCAAAATATACCACATTGAATTTCACAACAAAACAAACATTGAGTTACATTTGAATGTTTTTCTATATTGCCAACGTGAAGTAATGTGTTGGATAATATTTTTTTTTTCTTTTTATAATTTCGCCATGAGTAGAAAATATATGCCGTGAGTTATAATAATAAATAAATATTTATGTTTTAAAATTAAGTGAATAGTGAAAATAATGCATCTCATCTCAATTTTTTAAAATTTGCTGATGAGACAATAATGAGTAAACGACATCAAAGTTCAATTACCATTTAAATTTTGGTAGGAGGCCATAGCTACTAACAGCAAAACAACTTGCAATTTTTTGTCAACCTTTCCGACTACCTTTTATACGTTCCCCCTTAAGTGAGTTTAAGTAACTAAAATTGAATCCTATCTAAAAATTAAAAAATGATAACTAAAACCAAATCAATGATATAAATTATCATTACATTCTGAACTTGTGATTAATACAATGATATTTTATTGCAATTATTATTTTTTTAAATATATATACAGGACAATAAGGTAATTTGAACCAAGAAAAGAAAAAGAAAGAAAGAAAAAAGAACAAGAAAAAAGCTGGGTATATTGTAAGATCCCCAACATTTAGGGAGCAATTTGGAATTTTCTACAAATTGCCACGTAGGAGGTGTGATTAATAGACACTTGTATACTAGGTGTCAAAGTGTCATGCTCTCTCAGGTCATTAACTCCTTCTCTCGAAAGATTTCTACAATAGAATATAAAATGTATTATCTTATATTAAAATACTAGCGTCTGCCCGTGTCTAAAGGCACAGTGTAAATAATATTAAGATTAAAATGCAGTTATAAAAATATATTTAATAGACTGTACTTTACAATTCTAAACAAATCAAACATAAAAAAAAAAATTAAATATCAAATAATACACACCAGCCAGTGCTCTGCAATTTAAAAGAAATTAAAATTAAAATACACACCAGTTACTGTACTCCATAATTCCAAACAAATCAAATATAAAAATAAAATTAAATATCAAATAATGCACATCAGCCAATGCTCTACAATTTAAAAGAAATTAAAATTAAAATTAAAATGCAAACCAGTTAGTGCTACTGCTGCCAATCAAATCTCTAAGAGAAATTAGAACCGATGAATCAAATCTATAGATGGTATGTAGCTTCACAACAAAATTCATCCTATGACATCTGGTAACCACAAAATTTAGAAAATATAACGCACACACATCTATTCTATCATTGAACAAAATTGTTTTCATCTCCAAATGCAAGATGCCTACTTTTTGTAGAGTATTGTTGTGTGGTTACCAATTTTTACACCAAATTTATATATTATTTTGACATGTAATCACAGAATTAGTGCATCAGTAGACACCTTTCATGCATTAAAATACACATATGCATGGCATATAAGATGCCTCCTCAGATGATAGAACCTAACTGTATAGAGATAACTTGAAAATTGAGCCCAATAGCAAGAGGAACAATACATTATTTAACTGTATAGCATAGAGAAAAATTGACATTTTTTTCACTATCATATTCCATATCAGTTTAGGTGTTTTCTTTTGTCTAACATTAACAATACATTATTTAAAAGAAATACAAATAAAACAAAAATGATTGCCTACAAAAAATATAAGGCACAATAAATATGGTAAATGGACCACCCCAAAACAACTGAGATTAATGAGTGATCAAAAATATCATAAATGTAGAACTGTTTCTAGAATTGGGTAATCATACTATTCAAGATAATATTGTGCAACTGATTTAGCTACTTCTATTCAAATCAATCACAGGGACAATGGGTTACGTTTGTCAGACCCACATTTGAATCGCTGATATAGAATATATATGGTTACAGAGAAATTTTCAAGTGTTAATCCAACTAAGATCTATCAAAAGCAGCAGTTGCAACAGCTGATCATTACATAGCCACACTACACACCACAAAAGAAATTCAACACTAAAAAGAGTTAGAAGTATGGACCCTACCTTGGGCTGAAGATTGGTTATTGTGGACCTCAGCATAGTGATCTTCTTCATCTGGCAAATACCAGTGGGGGAATTGAACAAAAAGAGCGAAAAAACATAAGGAACATCCAATCTAAAGATGAAATACTTACCAAAAAAAATCTAAAGATGAAACAGAAGTTAACGGGTAACTTTCACTGGACATACCCTGAACAAAAGCAGGGGTATATAATATTTATTTACCAAATGTTGATCAGCAGATTTCTACTATATAGCACAAAGAATCCCAAAGATGATGTTAAATTTTTATCGAAGAAAATAAATTACATACATAGTCAATAAAAAACTGAAACAAAGAATAGTACGGGATGTTGGTTGAAAAACAACTATAGGAGGCATTGCAGTTGCTTTGATAGGCTGCATACTCCTAGCAATACATTTTTTGTATGGTTTGGACCAAATCATTCTATGTTCATCACAATATAAGCAAACATTACTCAATTGCAGAAAGAGGAAATAGTGGATTACTCAACTATAAGGAAGATGGCTTGCCAGGAACAACAATACCAAAAATGCTTGATTGAAACTTTGCAGAATTCAGATTACGATTGAAGGACGACACCTGAAACAAAATAAAACAATAATAATAACAACAATGAGAACAATTTCCATGTCGCACATTGCAATCCATGAGTAGTGAAAACTAAATGACATAATGTGGAAACAAAATTAGAACAAAAATAAATAAATAAATAAAAATAAAAAATACACATACAACAGAATTAAAAAAACAAAGAAAGTTCTAAGGTTGAGAATTTAACTGGAAAAAAAAAAAAAAAACATTACCAACATCTCAATAACCATTACCAAAAAGGGATATGTTAGAATCAGGTCATGGTATTTGACAATAAATAAATAACTAAATAAATAAATAAATTTAAAAAATAAAAAATAAAGTGAGAAGTTAAGTTTTCAATAACCTAATTGATGTTTTCATGATTTTCAAAATAGGAAAAATCAGCTCATGAAATAAAATTAATTCTAACATATCTAAACAACCAAATAAGCATCAAAGAAAAACGAAAAAATTGAACAACACAATGAACATAATCCACAACTACTTCTTTGGTAGCAGATGAATAACATCTCAACGCGGATACTGCAGGCTGTTGTATCCTTTGCAAGGATTGTTCTAAAATCTGAAATTAAATACTATCTATTAGATGCAAAAAAATCTTCCTTTTTCAAAATCAAAACATACGATTGAAAGACCTACCGAAACAGGAAATCCTCCAGCTCCAAGTTTTTGCCTTGCAATCCTCCACATCCTTACAAATGAACTAAATACATACATAAATAGTCCACATACACAAAGAAACCATAAAATTAAGCAGATATTATCTCCAAATCAGAGGCAAAGCAAAATATTATACATAGTTCAAACCTGAATTGCAACAGACGGAAAATAGTCAATCAAAAAAAAAATTAAAAAAAAACATCCTTACAAATGAACTAAATACATACATAAATAGTCCACATACACAAAGAAACCATAAAATTAAGCAGATATTATCTCCAAATCAGAGGCAAAGCAAAATATTATACATAGTTCAAACCTGAATTGCAACAGACGGAAAAATAGTCAATCAAAAAAAAATTAAAAAAAAATTGTTTTAAATTTTTTATCATAGACCACCGTTAAAGAAAACCTATTCATACAGGACTCAATCAAAGATAGTCAGTTAAACACCAAAATTGATCAAAATCATTCAAACAGATCCAGTAGGTAATCCATAACAATGTATTGAAACATAGTTATATTCAATGACATCAAAAATAGATTAGTTTTAATTCACCTAATCCACATACAATTTCTGTAACAATCATACATATCCTCCTCCAATAGCCCAATAAAGATATTTCTAAACAGATATTCAATCTCAAGATAGATAATTCATTCAAATTTGCACAGGTGTGAGGTAATATATATCCAACTCCACCATTTATATCGACATCCATCTAATTTCACATTTATAATACCAATTTCATTCATTTATACAAAATCAATCTTTGAAGCATTTTAGGGCAAACTTCCCTCATTCCCAACTATCAACTCAAATACCAAAATTGACTATTTTGTCCTAATATAACCTCATTTTCAAACCCCACAACCATTTATATCACGTTCCCCTTCTTTTGATTCTAAATCCCAAATCCTAGGTTTGTCTAAAGTATTCCCAAATCTCACCATAGTTACACAACAACAAACAACTAATTAAAAATCATATGAAAATGTAGAAAATCCCTACCTCAAAGAGAGAAGACGAGCAAGGCAAAGATGAAACTTCAAAGATACTCAAACCTAACTCTATTCGGATCAAAATGGAGATCTTGAGATGCTCACTCTTTTTAACAAAGGTAAGTGGGTAGAGAGATCACTAGAACTAAGTGAAAATGTAGAGAGAGAGAGTGTGTGTGTGTGTTTTAGAGAAAGAAAGTCCTGATCTAGGGTTTTTAGGAAAGAGAAGTATGAAAAATGATGTAAAAAGTCACTTTCGCGATTTGATATACGCACAGTCTGCTTGAGCGCAAGAAGTGACGCTTAAGCGTCAGACACAATAAGTTGTTCCGCTCGAGCGCAGAATACGCGCATCCAATAAATTTGTAGACAATAGACCAAGGCCAAGCGCGAGAAAATGCCGCTCGAGCGCCCACCCGCTCGAACATAGGAAACGCCGCTTAAGCGTAGAAAACGCCGCTCGAGCGTAAAATACAATCTCCCAGTAGTTTTGTAGACCTGCAAAAGTACTGAGGATTTGCAAATCCAGCTCGAGCGCAAGAAGTGCCGCTCAAGTGGAGGACCAAAATCCTAGGCAACAAAAGTTTTAAAACTCCGCAACCAGCATGTTCCAAACATGCTCGATACAACCCAATAGTCAAACTCAATTAAGAATAAAAAGGAAGAGACATGATTAACCATATAAGGCTATGAAACCCAAGTCCGAAATACACAATGGGTCGAGTCTAAACCAAAAACACTACGATTTTTATTTTTTATTTTTTTATGTATATATACAAAATGGGTTTGCACATAACATTGGAAATAACCAAATAGAAAAGTGGAAACCCTTACCACACATGCTGTCCAAATAATTGGTCAAACAGAACTTTAAAAATATTCATGTAAACACAAACACACATACCAAAATCTGAAATGCAAAAATTCCAAAGCTGTTCATAATGGGTATTAGGGAAAAAATTTGCCTACCACAAATTAAATTAACATTGCATCAAATCCCATACAAATCATGGTTACCACAAACAGGTTTTTCAAATAAAAAACTGTTTACTTGGCCGGCTAGGCATCTGCGCAATCAACACAGAAAACCAGCAAAGACAATACACCTGTTGCATAACTTCATACCGTGTGCATAAACAAACCGAAATAATTAAAAAAAAAATTAAAATTAATAAACCAGACCACCATGTCTAGTGTTGACATGCAGTAGTTGCATGTCCCAGTCTTCAGTTGGTGCATCAATAGTAAAATACAACCAAGAAGGAAAGAAGAAAAAAAGGTCAACAGACACAACAGTGTTCAAGTAAAAATAAACAGAGTCGTTAGAGTTGTTTCTTGAGCAGATTTAAAAGCGAAGTCCTTCATTGCGTATCAAACTCGCAAGAGTTACACCCCCACTTCTTTCTTTGTCCGCTTTCTTCGCCTACAGCCACCCAATAATGCCTTGGTCCGTGGGAATAGTCATAAGCATCTCCCTATTGTTCGGTACCTCCATAAGCATCACTCTGAAATAGAGAAATGGATCGGTGGGGTCCACTCCCTATATTTCATACAGCCGTGCAATAGCCTGTCCCATTGTGTAACTGTGCATGCTGACAACGTGGTTGACAGTTAGTTCCTTGTTTTGTGTCTTCACCGAATTTACCAAGTTATCCATGCTGCTTGCCAAGGCTGCTGCCCCAGTTATGTGCTTCTTTTGCACTGTTTTGCCTGACAAATGCTTTTGTTTGCTTCCACTACCCATGGCATTGATGTTGACTGAGTTCATCATGTCAGCCATTTCCGATGCTCCCAAATCATTGCTATCACTGGAAAATTCTGGACTGTCAGACACTCCTTCCAACTCCAACGGGTTACGAGTCTCGCTGGGCGTCCATACATTTTTTTTCCGTTGTCGTTGCCCCAGTGAAGATGCGCAGCATCAAATCCGGATGGTCTAAGGTTTTAGTCCTAAACTTGTAACATTCTTTGTCAATCTATAAATGAACACAATGACAAAAATAAATTCAAACACTGAAATGGAAGAAATTGCACACACATAAGGCTGAAATGGATTCGGAAACTTTGTAGCACATGCCTCAAATGTATAACTACAACATTTACAATTGCATGATAAGAATACAACAAGTTTTAAGCATGAAACCAAGCAGAATAATCAAAACTCCAAATATAATAAATTCCACCACTGTAGGATAGTATAACAGTGTTGCACCATAGTAGCAGTAACACAGTGTTGGAAAAGAACAAATAGAAAAAACCTATAGCAAAGAACAAATACACTGGTTGTTTGGGATGTCTTAAATAAGTGCACTTTTTGTCTTTTTGGACTAAAAAATTGAGGAAAAAATATAGATGTTTGGGTTAACTTTTTGAATTTTTATAGAAAAATGTGTATTAAAAAATTGTATAAATTAGTGTGTAGGTGAAAATTAGAATTGGGAGTTGTGCAGCCGTAATTTTTTACTTTTGGTGAATAGTGATAACTTTTTAACTTTTTGAGTAACTTTTTGACTTTTTTTCAACTTGCCAAACTTAACCTACATATTAATTACTACACTAGATGAGTGAAGTAGTCAGCACACACTACATAGTAAAACATAGTAAGGCAGCCATTTCTTTATATTTGCCCTCTACAAACTTGAAAATGCAACATAACAAGAAACTATGACATTTTACACGTGTTTGTTTGAAAATGCTGTAAAGTACAAGTGTTTTTCGTTTGACAATTCTCTCAACTTTTCCAAAATTATAAACTTATAAACATACGTCTTTCATAAGTATTTGTTTGAAATTGCAGCAACCTTAGCATAGAATGTACTTAAAATTATGCAGCCATGGGTACTATGCGGGAAATCCCACATCGGTCTGTGAATGACTACTTTCCCACCTTGTAAACAGGCTAGCTCCTCTTACCTTGCATAGGCCTTTTCCCCCAGTGGGGGAGGAATAAAACCGTGCGGTCGGAATGCCAAAGCGGACAATATGTGCAAGGCACGGGGACCGGTTGATTTATTTGGCACCGTCTGTGGGAACTCCTTCCGGGGTGACCGGGGCCAACGCGACTGGGGGCTAATGTGTGGGAAATCCCACATCGGTCTGTGAAGAACTACTTTCCCACCTTATAAGCAAGTTGGCTCCTCTTACCTTGCATAGGCCTTTTCCCCAGTGAGGGAGGAACAAAACCGTGCGGTCGGAATGTCAAAGCGGACAATATGTGCAAGGCACGGGGACCGGTGGCTTTATTTGGCGCCGTCTGTGGGAACTCCCTCCGGGGTGACCAGAGCCAGCACGGCTGGAGGGCTAATGTACGGGATTTCCCGCACAGGTACTATAGTACTAATTTGTGTATGTCACCAATTGTTTATCAATTTGTTAGTTTTTTTTTCTCTTTTTTCTTATTACAACCACAATTGTGCTTCTCTATGGTAGCCTAAACTGTAACCTTACTTTGGAAAAACATGGTGTACATAAAAAATTGGGAAATTACATCTGTAATAAAGGACAAGAAAGAAATACGTAAATGTAGTTCATAGCGTTACCTTCACCATTTTAGCCCACCATTCGGGCGACGCATTGAACTTGTCAGTTGCTTGGTCAAAGCCAATTCCAGTTGGCCCTTTCTGGCAATCAAGAAGCTTCGAACATGCATGTCATTCACTCTTCAATAAGTTGTACTTGTTTTTCAGTTGTTTCGGCTCATGAAGCCTTCCAATTGCTGCCTCGAAAGTCTTTGACAACGAGCGGTACCTTTTTGGAGTGATTGACATATGCAGCCAGTTCCCTATATCTATTTCCTTAAGGACAAGTTCCAAGAATATCTGTGTTGAGTCCCCATCCCAATTGCTTTATGATAGGCTTGTTGTCATTTCCCTTTGCCAGAAGGGGTATGAGGTGCAGATCGATGTGATGCCATGTGCCTTTAATAACGTCTTAGAATGGGAACCAACGTACAAATATTTATACAAACAAGCCAAGCATTACAGATATAATAAACAAACCATTTATGTCACAAATGGGATATGCATTACAGATATAATGAACAAATCCCAGGCTATAGCCATTTTCTCAAACACAGATTGTAAACAGACAACATATGGTGTCAAACAAGTGGAGAAGAATTGCAGATCATAGACAACAAAAAAATACTATACATGCAGCTAAGAACAGAAATAGGGTATGCATAGCAACAACCAAAAAAATTGAAAGAATAAATGTGTAGCAACATATTTGCAGATCTTATGGACTGGATAACAACACATTTTGCAGTAACAAAATAAACACAATACAGATAGAATTGATCCCAAAGAAACTGAAATGTGGAACAGTGGGGAAATGAACAAAAAGGGGACGGGTACAAAACCAAGGCAAAATTCATCTCAAACAAGCAGAAATGTGAAATTTTTTAGCAATCCTACAACCACAACTTTGTATACCACTATTGCCTAAAACAAAAAAACATTCACTTTGCTTGGTTCCTGTTTTCAAAAAACACGTTTCAGAAAAATTTACTTTCTTATTTTTCATATTTTTTTGTTTTTATTGAAATTTTTTAATATTTTAAGCAATTTTTTTTACTTTTTAGACATACCTAACATAAATATACTTAAAAAGTAAAAAATTTGTGAAAAAAATCTTTTAAAAATTTACTAAATACTAAAAATACAAAAAAAATATGAGAATTCAATATATTTTTATATTTTTATGTATTTATTAATTTTTTAAAATATTTTTTTTATAAATTTTTTACTTTTTAGATACATCACAGTAAGGTGAATATAAAAAAGTAAAAAAAATATTTAAAATTTTAAAAATATTCACTAAAAATAAAAAAAATTAAAAAATTAAAAAATTCAATTTTCAAAAAACTTAATTCAAAAAACTCAAAGCAAACACACTGTTTTCATGAACAAATCACCCGAACATGAACCATAAATCCGCCATTAAAAAGCCTCCTACAATATCTATGTCTTCACCGTAGTAGAGAACAACAACTGCAAGTGCAGATTGAAGAAAAAATAAATAAATGAAAGCAAATAAACACCCACAAATATAATACAGTGGGTAACATTAAACCCACGCATCAGAGAGATAATTTGCAATCGATTAACCATGTTTCTGACCTCACCAACAGTGCCACAATGACCTTACAACCAGTTTATTTTTGTAATTTCAGAAAGATTTCAAAACAAAAAAAAAATCAAACAGCACCTTTCGTACCGCCGATCAGAAAATCTCTGCGTACATGAGAGGGAATGAGAGCATACCTACGGTTGGGGTGTGCGTCGAAGGACGGAGTACGTTTCCGTTGGCCTTCACCGGCTACGGTCATCACTTCCTTCTCGTCTTCCTTCAAGCCTCGGTGCTGTTGTTGGCTTGAAGTTCCCTCCATTTTGGGAAGTGGCTTATAATTCGCCTCTCAGAATATAACTCATTTCTTCTCTCACAAAAAAAATTATTTATAAATAATTTTTTACCAAAAAATTAATTAAAATCATCTTTTCAAAATAGCCAACCACTCTTCAAGTAGACTTTTTGCTTCAAGTCCACCTATATGAAAGTTTTGACATAAAGGTTGGGTTCAGACAGAAATAAAATAATGTAAAAATGAAAAGGAGGGGGTAAAAAGGACATTTCACCTCTGCTAAAGCCACAGAACACGCGATTGCAACATAGGATAGGTACGGAGGATAAAATTATAGATTTTTTTAACTTTTTTTAATAATTTTTTGACTTTTAAATTAAAATGAACAACTGGAAAATAAGGCCTTAGCGCAATTTTACGAACAACTGGCAAATGAGGCCTTAGTGCAATTTTGAGAAAGATGAGCATCTATTTATCTATATATTATATAAACAAAAAGAGTTTCTAAATTCTAACCCACAAGATTTCTTAGAACTTTAATATCTGACAAATGAGGCCTTAATGCAATTTTGAGAAAGATGAGCATCTATTTATCTATATATTATATAAACAAAAGGAGTTTCCAAATTCTAACTCACAAGATTTCTTAAAACTTTAATATCGCAATCTTAATTTCTTGATTTTCGAATTAAATAAATAAAAAAAATCTCTCACCCACCCTGCAATTTTAGAGTTTTTGAATTTAAATAAGTCCTAAACCCAAATTTTCCTAAACCATATCTTTTTTATCGAAAATGTCTCGTAGCTCGAAAGGGTCGAGCTCGAAACAGCTCGAAAATGGAAGAAGAGGGGAGAAAGAGAGGGAAGAGGAGGAGAGAGGAAGAAAAAGAGAGGAGAGGGCTCGTCGCAGTGGGTCGTCGCCGATCGTCGCAGCAGACCGTCGCCTCGCCCAGCCCCGGTCGTCTGCCCAGCCCCGCCGACGTCGCAGCACCACCGTCATCTGCCCAGCCTCCCCTCCTCCTCCAACCGGTTTTTATGGCCTCCTCCCCTCCCTCCTCCTCCTCCCTTCTCTTCTTCTCCCTTCTTCTTCTTCTTCTTCGTTCTGTAACAAAACCAGGGAAGAAAGAAAGAAAAAAAAAAAAAAAAATTCGACACCAAAATGACGTCGTTTTGGTGTCGAGCCGCGATTTCGAGCCACGGTTTCGAACTACATAGCATGGTCGCTTTTTTATTTTCCTTCGATTTCCGCCAACCATAACTTTAATTGAAACAATTATCAATTCGCTTGATTGCTTTTCTTTTTATTAGTTCTTTTAATGCTTGCTTTTCTTTTCATTACTTTTTTTTTTTTTTTTGTTATGATGAATGAATGGACTATATTATCGATTTTTTTCTCATCTATTCTTAGATTGTGAGTGTTGAAGATTTATCAGAAAGTGGGAAAAAAAATTGTTATTATATTTTTTAATTGATTGTATTTTCTCATCTATTTTTTAAACTATACTATTGTTTTTCTTCTCATCTATTTTTTTTATTGTGAGTGTTGAAGATTTATAAAACAGTGTGAAAAAAAAATGTTCTTGTGTTTTTTAATTGACTATGTTTTCTCATCTATTTTCTTATTGTGGGTGTTGAAGATTTATCACACGGTGAGAAAAAAAAATATGATTGTATTTTTTTAACTGATTGTATTTTTTTACACTCTGTTTTAATAATACGGTGATTGTATTTTTTTAACTGATTGGGTTTTTTTACACTCTGTTTTGATTACATTGGAGGAAAATTGTGATTGAGTTTTTTTAACTCACTGTATTTTTGAAAAAAAAAATTAAAAATGATTGTATTTTTTAACTATCATGTTTAGATGAATGACCAAAGATTATTGAATTAAACAAAAAATTTATGACTAAAATCCCTTAGCAAGGAATTTACAAAGAAATTTGTATATTATTTCAATTGTTAGTCCACCATACAGATTTCACCCTTCTAAAAAAAAATCTACCATACAGATTACTCTCTACCATAAAGATTACTCTCAGCCTTTCTAAAGGCTCTAATTATCACAGTAACTCTAATACAGATTACTATCCTTTGTCCTTTCCTTTAACTCTGATCACGGGTATTAGACAAATAAACAGTGTGTTAATTGGAGGATTTGAGAAAGGATTTGAAAAGGAGAAGGAAAAAGTAGATAAAATATAAACAAAATATACTTATATTTCATATAATTTCACACATCTTTTCCCTTTTCTTTTTAAAATTTCTCCATAAATTTACAAACTAAACACAATGTTAAAACACTAGATAGTATATTGTAGAGCATTTGTTATATATATTAAAGAAAACCCTTAGATAGCTTTGCCCAATATACTCTAGATCTTCTGCTTGACATAATAAAGTGAAACACGGTGATTGTGTTTTTTTATTTGATTGTATTTTTTTTACGCTTTATTTTGGTCACACGGTGAGAAAAGAAAATTGTGATTTTATTTTTTAACTCACTATGTTTTATGAAAAATGAGCATATGATTGTGTTTTTTTTTAATTTACGTTTTAAATGATATTCTTAATATGAACGATTATTTTACAATATTGATTGTACTTTTATACACTCTGTTTTGATCAGATAGTGAGAAAAAATATATGTTTGTGTTTTTTTACATTATGTTTTGATCTGACAGTGAGAAAAATTATGGTAGTATTTTTTAACTGATTATGTTTTTTTTACACTCCGTTTTGATAATACGATGAAAAAAAATTGTGATTATGTTTTTTAATTGATTTTTTTTTTTTTTAACCTAACTTGTTTGGATGGATGACAAAGTAAAACATGTGTGAGACATTCTCAAATAAAAATAATTGATACTGTTTTTTGGAAAAAAAAATAATTGTGTGTGGTTTTTTTTACCTAACATGTTTGGATGGATGACAAAATAAAACATGTGCGAGACATTCTTTTAAAAAAGAAAAAATTAACTAATTGTGTTTTTTGAAAAAGAAAAATAACCGAGTTTTTTTTTTTTTTTTCCTTTTGTGTATTTTAAGCGGCATTCTTAATATTATAAATATTTTACAATACTGATGTGTCATGAATTTCACTAGCTGTGTCAATAGTTGCCAATGTATCCAATTTATGTTATAAAACTACAATATAGATATAAATTATTTATATTGTGATATGAGTTTGATTTACGATTTTGGTTGATTTTGTTTATCTACAATTAATTTGTCGCTTTTAAAATACTTGTTCAATCAAGTAATACATTATTTAACCGTTTCTTTCATAATATAAACATAAACTCGCATATCATCCCGTGCTATGCACGGGATTATATTTAAAAAGACTATTTATTTATAGTTATGTCAAACATATTTTAAAATTGTTAACATAAAATCTACGTAATTATGAAACAAAATGTTGAGGTTTGTGTGTTTGGTATTTGTTAGATTTTTTTCTTTAACTAAATAACCAACAGATTTTTTTTTTTTAACATTTTTAATTTTGAAAATCAAGAAATTTAGGTTGAGAATTTAGAGCTCTCACATCCCTTCTCATTAGAAATCTCATTTTCTTTAATATAAAAAACACTCATTTCTATTGTGATTCAATTTGATTTATATTTTTAGGTCAAAAAATTACACCAGCTATAAATGGAGACCAATAGAGATATTTGTGTGCTTTTATGTTTTCTATTAAAAAAGGATACCAATAGATATACTTTTCTTTCCTTTTTCTTTTTTTCCTTTAACTATAATTGTTGCACTGATCATATTCTACCTTATAATTTATTTTTTGAGAGCAAAACAAAGGATGCTTCTATATCACTGAATTTTGTTTCTTTTTTTTTTTTTTTTACTTTACACTTCAATTATCGCATTGATGATATTCTACTTTACAATTTATTAAATATTCATTCCAAATTCATTACAATAACTTTTTTACTCTATAGGAAGTGTTTGCAACAACTGATGATATGCAACTATATCATACTCTAGAGAAAGATGATATTTTGTTTGCTACTAGATTAACAATTAAAAATTATCATGATAAGATTAATTTTCATTGACTTTTATAATATCTATATGCATATACAAATCTTGATATTGATAAATTATCTTTTCTCAACTTCTAGGTCTATGTCTCACT